TAGGTAGGTGGGTAGGTAGGTGGTAGGTAGGTAGGTGGGTAGGTAGGTAAGTAGGTAGGTAGGTGGGTAAGTAGGTAGGTAGGTGGGTAGGTAGGTAGGTGGGTAGGTAAGTAAGTAGACAAATCTTTGCTGAGTCATTTGATGATTACACACATCATGACAAGCTATCTCTAAGTAAGGAATAAGGATCGTGATACTTGTCACATCTGAAAAAATTAGCATTAATTCAATAATAATCATATTTATATAAATTATATATATTTACCAATTTTATATCAATAATTATTGAATTAGAAATAATTCTGTAGTGTCATCTAATACAGAAACTTTATCTAAATTTCCCCAGTTGTCAAAAAGCATCATCAGTAAATATGGCGAGGGATCCAATCACGGATCCAATAAAGATTCATGTTGTTCATGGTTTCTCTTTTAATCTAGAACATTCTCCCTACTGTTGTTTGGTTCTATGACCAAACTGTTCTACTGTTCTACTAACTCTCAACGTGAGAGAAGACATTCTGCTTCATTTGCCATCCACAGTAGACACCACTGTCTCCTCTCTTCACTCTTACACAAAGCTCCCTAATCTGCGCTTTGCGCTATTAACACCAAACTTTGCATTCTGCTCGATTCACCATAGATGCTTGAGACCAAATTCCGTTTCCTGTTACCACTTGACAACACACTGTGCTCTGTGCAACTGTAACAGCAGCTATATCTGCTTTCTTTTCCTTATGTTAGACTCAACATCCTGCTCCACTGTCTATTCATAGTCGATGCCACGTTGTCTTTCACTTATAATTTACGCTAGACTCAACATTCTGTTCCACTCACTGTAAACACCAGACTCAGTATTTGACTCCATTTGCTATTATAGTAATACTCAACTTCACATTATTCCCCCATTCACTTTTTTTAAAGCATAAAATTCAGTGACTATATGTTCACAAAGTGTACATCCTCACCACTATCTAATTCTAGGACATTTTCATCACCCCAAAAAGAAACCCCTGTGTTCATCAACAGTCATTCTTCATTCCTCCCTCTGACCAGCCTCTAGCAAACACTACTCCACTTTTTACTTCTGTGAATTTGCTTCTTCTAGACGTTTCATATAAATGGAATAAGATAAAACGTGCACTTTCACTTAGCATAATGTTTTCAAGATCCATCTGTGTTGTACGTTCTACCAGTATTTCTTTCTCTTTGGTGGCTGAATAATATTTCCCTTGTATGGGTCTATCATATTTTGCTTATCTATTCATCGGCTGAGGGATGTTTGGGTTATTTCCACTTTTTGGCTATTTTAAATAATGCTACTATGAACCTCCACGTACAAGTTTTGTGTGGACAAATATTTTCAACCCTCACAGGGTGTATATCTAGGAGTAGAATTGTTGGGTCATGTGGCAACTATATGCTTAACTTTCTTAGGAACTGCCAAACTATTTTCCAAAGTGGCTACACCATGTGATAATCTCCCCAGGGTTCCAATTTCTCCACTTCCTCACCAATGCTTATTATCATCTGTCTTTTGGATTACAGACATCTTAGTGGATGTGAGGTTGTATCTCACTATAGTTTTGGTTTGTGTTTTCCTAATAATAATGTTGAGCATCTTTTCATGTGCTTATTGGCCTATTCTAGATCTTAGGAGAAATGTCTATTCAAATCTTGTGCCCAGTTTATAATAGAGGTATTTTTGTTGTTGAGCTGTAGCAGTTCTTTGCGCATTGTGGATTTTAATCCCTTATCGTATATGTGATTTGCAAATATCTTCTCCTAATTTGGGAGTTATCTTTTCACTTGATTGGTAGGGTCCATTATACACTAAAGGTTTTAATTTTGATGAAGTAAAATGTATCTATTTTTTCTTTTGTTGGTTGGCCTTTGCTATCATATTTAAGAAACTAATGCCTAATCCAAAGTCACAAAGATTTCTATCTATGGTTTTTTTCTAAGAGTTTTATAGTTTAACCCTAAATTTAGGTTTTAATCCATTTTGATTTTTTCATATGGTGTAGGGGAGGGATATCACTCTTTTTCATGTGGATACCCAGTTTTTACAGCACCATTTGTTGGGAAGACTATCTTTTTCCCTCCGTTGAATTTATATCCTTGTCAAAAATCCATTGACCATAAATGTATGGGTTTATTTCCGGACTCTCAGTTCTGTTCCGTTGATCTGTGTATGTATCCTTATGCCAGTACCACACAGTTGATTACTGTTGCTTTGTGGTTAGTTTTAAAATTGGGAAGTGTGAGTCCCCCACCTTGGTCCTTTTTAAAGATTGGTTTGGCTATTCCGGATCCCTTGCCTTTCCACTGGAATCTGAATATGAATTTTAAGCTCAGTTTTGTCAATTTCTGCAACAACAATAAAAAAGGAAGTGAGACTGAAAATGCACTGAGTCTGGAGATGAATTTGGAGAGTATTGCCATCTTAACGATATCACGTCTTCCAGTCTATAAACAACAGATGTCTTCTCATTGACTTAGGTCACTCCACTGCCTTCTAGACTGCTTAGTTTCTGATGAGACATCTCGTTCCTCAGAATCACAGTGCAGCTCTTTCTGCCCACAGGTCTTGTCCCATGCTTTAATAATCTCGAGCTGCCTCCCCCAACTTAAAAGTATATAATCAATCTAACGAGGAATCAGCTGTTATTCTTATTGAGGATCTCTTGTACATGATGAGTTGCGTCTCTCTTGTGGCTTTCAAGATTCTTTGTCTTCTGACAGTTTGATTGTGACGTGTGCAGGCGTGGATCCCTTTGAGTTTATTTTGCTTGAAGTTCATGAACTTCTTAGACGTGTACATTAGTGTTTTTCTTCAAATTTGGGGAAATTTTGGCCATTACTTCAAATATTCTTTCTGCTTCTTTCTCTCCTCTCCTTCAGGCACACTCATTAGACACATGTTAGTATACTTAATGGTTCCTCACAGATCTCTGAGTCTCTTTTCATTCTTCTTCATTCTGTCCCTCAGACAAGATAACCTCAAGCTCATGGAATCTTTCTTCTGTCTGCTCAAATATGCTATTTATCCTCTCTAGTGAACTTCTCAGTTCAGCTATTAAATGTTCAACTCCAGAATTCCTATTTTGTTCTTTTTATCATTTCTATCTCACGTTCTATGTGGTGAGATTTTGTTCTCATGTTTTTCTTTAGTCGTTTATACTAAAGGTTTAAGCTAAAGATTTCCTTTAGCTCTTAGAACATGCTGAAAATAACTGATTTAAAGCTTTGATTAAGTCCAACATTTGGGCTTCCCCAGGGGCAGCTTCTTTTGACCGCCTTTTTTTTTTTCCTATGGATGGACCTGTCTTAGTCAATTCAGGCTGCTGTAACAAAGTACCAGAGACTGGGTCGCTTATAAATAACAGAAATGTATTTCTCTCAGTTCTGGAGCCTGGAAGTCAGGTGCCAGCATGGCAGGGCTCTGGTGAGGACCTTCGTCCAGTTGCAAACTGCCAGCTTATTATTATATCCTCACATGGTGGAAAGAGAGCTAGCTATCTGGCCTCTTTTTAAAAAGTCATTAATCCCTTTATGAGGGCTCCATTCTTATGATCTAATTACTTCCCAAAGGCCCCACCTCCAAATACCATCACATTGGAATTAGGATTTCAACCTATGACAGGGAGACGGGACACAAACATCTAGTCCACTGCAAGGCTAGCCTTTATTTCTTTGCGTATCTTATAATTTAGGGTTGAAAATTACACACTTAACATAATGTGATGTGGCATCTGTGGAAATCAGATTGCGCTCCCTCCTCAGGATTTGTTGTTTTTGCTGTTTGTTTAGTAACTTTTGTGAACCAATTCTGTAACATCTGTATTCTCTGTTGTGTGCGGCCACTGAAGTCTCTGCTCAGTTAGCTTGGCCATTACCTAAAATTGGACAGAAATTTCCTTAAATGCCTGGAACCTATAAATCTCCTGGCCTTTTCCTAGGGGCCGTATATATATATTCGAACACACCTTCATCACTCAGCCAGGAAGTTTACAGTTTTGCCTTACCCTTCACTTGCAGCTTGCTCAGTGTGTCAAGGTTAGCCAGAGTTGAGAGCTAAGGGGCCTTCCCAGTCAGGTCTTCCCTGAGTACCCACACAGGCCTGTGCATGCACACAGATTCCCATGTATATGTCAGAGCTTTTTCTAAAGCTCCCGTGGACATCGCATTCCCAGATTTTCCTTTTAAGCTTTTTGATCAACCTATTGTTTGCCTGAACTGTTACCTACTACCTCAGGAGGATGTGATGTTCAACAATTGCCACTGACTCTTTTCAACAAATGCCCCCAGGGAAAAGGCCGTTCACACTGGGCCAGTTCCAAGTCAGCTCAAATAAAAGACTGCCTAGTGAGTGAGGTCTTTCAGTGAACCACAAGACAGGTCAAATAATGACGGTTCTCTGGGAATGAAGCTTTAAAGAAGCTCTAACTCTGTTCTGCCCCGGCCACTGATTGCCTGGATACTGGTTTTCACTGTGCTTGCAGGCTGTTGGTTTTCAAGTCTAGCACAGAGCTGGGAAGAGGAGGATGCGAATATGGCAAGTTGAAACACCACAAGGCCCCAAGAGAAATAAATACACATGTCCACACAAAAACTTGTACATAGATGTTCATAGCAGCATTATTCATAATAGCCAAAAGGTAGACACAACCCTAATGTCCATCAACTGATGACTGGATCAAGAAAATGTAGTATAACCATACAAGGAGATATTATTTGGCCATAAAAAAGAATGAAATAGGCTACAACATGGATGAATCTTGAAAACATTATGCTAAGTAAAAGGAGCTAGTCATAAAAGACCACATGGTGTATGATTCCATTTATATGAAACGTCCGGAAGGGGGAAATCTGTAGAAACAAAAAGTAGATTAATGGTTGCTTAGGACTGGGGGGAGAGGACTTGGAGGAATAGAGGAAAGAACGGTGGCTAAAAGGTATTAGGTTTCTTTTAGAGGTGCTAAAAATATTCCAAAAGTGACCGTGATGATGGTTGCACATATCTGGAATGTATTAAAAACGATTGAAATACACACTGTAAGCGTGTAATATCTCAATGAAGCTGTTTTCTTTTTTTTTTTAATGCCACCAAGTTTGATGCTCTTGCTGGCATTCAGCTGACTTTTTAAGTAAATGCTTTCAAGATTGCCGTTAGCCTTTGGTTAAGAGGGCTTCTGAGAAAGTTGATTCTGACCATTTTTGCTGTTGTCCTTGTTGCTTTTATAGAGGAGAGTGTTTTTGAAGATCTTACCCTGTCGCTTTTGCTAACATCCTCTGTTTACTTTTAATGTTAGGTACACCGTTCTGTTCCTATCACCCTTAGCTAAACACAACATTCCATTTCGCTCAGTGATGATGCTCGATACACCATTCTCCCCTCTCCTCTCTCTAGTACTCGTCTAGGTACCATATTTTATTTTCTCCAATGTTTCATGCCGTCTTCCTGATGCATTTTTCTTCTCTTTTCCTCTGCACCTTCCTAATACCCCAGCTGAGGAAGGGGATAGCAGTGGGTAATGGCAGAGTTACTGAGAAGCAGAAATACTGAGATATTTCATTCTCCTCTGCCCTCACCCTCCTGTGTTCGTTCCCACCCCCACTCCAGGTGTCCTATGTGAAAGCCATTGACATTTGGATGGCGGTGTGCCTGCTCTTCGTGTTCTCAGCCCTGCTTGAGTATGCCGCTGTCAACTTTGTGTCTCGGCAGCACAAAGAGCTGCTCCGATTCAGGAGGAAGCGAAGACATCACAAGGTAGGCCTTTGGATCACTGCCTAAGGAGGGACAGCTGGTGATAAACACAAGAGTTTCAGGCAGCCTTGTCTCATGATAGTTGTTTCGCTGGACCATCCTTCTCAGGGGGTAAGGCAGACACAAAATAGGGATTAAACTCCTGGAAGCCCTAACTTCCCCTCCCATAAACAATGCCTTGATTGAGTCTGTGGGCAAGTTATTCTTCTAATCGTAATAACAGTATAGAAATTATCAGGTTACACCTGAAGACAGAACTGATGGAACACTGATGGGGTTACGATAATAACTAGCTGTGACCTTGAAGCTTGGCAGGCTAAAAGATGATTATTGGTGCCTTCTTCAAGGCTGCATTATTTCCAGGGGTTTGGTTTCAGATGGAATTGCCACCACAAAAGGTTACGATCTTTGAGTAGAACGTCCAGGTGCCAGGCCTTTGCTTCCTACTTCCAAGAAAGGGGCATCGAGCAAAATGCTCCCCCAAAGTGGGTTCTCTCACTTTATGACAGCTTGAATAAAGAAATACTTGGCAGGCCATCTCTGTGAAGTCACCAGCCTCTGCCAACTCAGAGACTGTGTCCCAAAACCAGCAAAGGCCATTGGGGAGTGTGCAGTCTCTGGGAGCAAACTGGCTGCATACCTTGGTCTAGAACTACTTTTCCAAAAGAAGTTTCCCATGGAGATCAGAAAACCTACTTTTCTCTCCAGCCTCATCTTTACACTGCTTTCGCCTTTTTTCTCTGAGCACCAACCACCCTAGTTTTTCCCTAGTTGCTCAAGCATTTACCTGGGACTTGTTCTCTCCGGAAATGCCCTCCCAGCGCACTTTGCTTAATGTTAACCAAGCGCTCGCTTTCCAGCTCTCAGCCGAGGCATCTTCCCCGAAACCTGAGTCAAAGTCAAGGTCCTGTATTGAAGTTCTCATGCAACAGTCGAGTATGGCAGCACAGATTGTATCCTACACGGGCCCCTAGGCCACGAGGCACTTTTCTCTGAAGTCCTGCCTCAGTATGGACTGAACAAATGGACAAATGGATAAACTAAAGAACCAAGAGGAGCCTTTCCAGTCAGAGAGCCTACCAAGAAGTTTTTCCAGCAACAGATTAGGGCGAACACTATGAGCTGTCAGGCCACACCACAAACCTGCCGCACACCAAGGCCCTCCAAGTTTCAGACTGACCCACTTCGAATAGCTGTCTACTCAGCTACAATGTGCTGTGGCAGAGGACTCTGTTTCTTTATCACTGTTTGGTACGTGACTTCAAGCTAGCCTTTTTCTGGGCCCGTTTTCCCCACCTGTAAAAGGGACCAAATTGGCACAATTGGGGACTGTGGTCAGGATTAAATCAGATTGCAAAGCAGTTTTTGTTCCTGCCACACAAATGCCAGGGAATAATGATTACACATGCACAGGTTTCCATCAGTATGTTTCTTGAACATCAGCAATCTGATTCAATTAACTTCTAGCAGGTTACCATAGGCAGGAGGTAGACGTTTCAAGACAGAAGATGTCCGTGGGAGTTAAGGTATAACCACCCTTTTAACTCCACATTAGAAGAGAAAACTATCTTACGTGCAGTAAGCCACGTGCAGTAAGCCAGACAGGATTTCTTTCTTTCTTTCTTTCTTTCTTTCTTTCTTTCTTTCTTTCTTTTTTTTTTTAAGTTTATTTATATTGAGAAAGAAAGTGAGCCTGAGCAGGGAAGGGGCAGAGAGAGAGAGGGAACAAAATCCCAAGCAGGCTCCATACAATCAGCACAGAGCCCAATGCAGGGCTCAAACCCACAGACTGTGAGATTCTGACCTGGGCCAAAATCAAGAGTCAGACACTTAACCAACCGAGCCACTGAGGCACCCCAATAGGATTTCTTTAAAGACCTCTAGTCTTAGTCCTTACTGCTCATTGGATACTGAGCCCCTGACTATTACACTAATCTAAGCAAGAACTGGCCAAACACAACTATCTTTGGAATTTATTATTTTTCCTGGCTAACTGCTTTTTGCATTTTCCTCTGCTAAAAGAGAGTTAATACATTTGTTGAAGAGACACTTATTTGGGGAGACTATGTCTGAAATATTTGACTAGCTCCAGGCCACTAGACTATGCATGGCACAACCCCAGGGGGCACTATGCGCATAGACTAAAATGTAAATGGAGCCCCCTGCAGATATGTAGCATGACAGGCCTGGAGGACCTACAAAGGCTGCCTCTGCTCTCACCAAATCCTTACCAGTTGTACACACTAGAGGAAAACAAAACTTTCTCTTGGGTCGGGGGAAGTGTAAATAAAGCCACAATCAGATTTGATCAGATAACCCTGCTCAGTTCCTTCCTCATTCTCTCACAGCTTGTTAGTGCTAGAAGAGCCTTAGAGGGCATCTTGTCCACTCTTCCCATGCAAATGACAACAGTGAGGAGGGGCAAAGTGATCACTAGGATCACAGAGGCACTGGTGGCAAAAGCAGGGTAGGTGCTGAAGGTCCCATGGCTTTTCTCAAAAATACTGACCACACACAGTATTCATCAATGGTTTCCATCCCGAAGTGGATAAAATAGCCCTGTATTTATTAGATGACAAATAAGAACTAAGACTTACCCAAAGGCAGAGGTCAAAAACCAGTAGCCAGAGATCAAATTCAACATGCAACTGTCCCTAATTTCACTAGCAGTGTCTTAAAAGTCTAGAATAAGGGGCCAGCATTTAAAAATCACACTTCTGGGGCGCCTGGGTGGCGCAGTCGGTTAAGCGTCCGACTTCAGCCAGGTCACGATCTCGCGGTCCGTGAGTTCGAGCCCCGCGTCAGGCTCTGGGCTGATGGCTCGGAGCCTGGAGCCTGTTTCTGATTCTGTGTCTCCCTCTCTCTCTGCCCCTCCCCCGTTCATGCTCTGTCTCTCTCTGTCCCAAAAATAAATAAACATTGAAAAAAAAATTAAAAAAAAAATAATAAAATAAAAAAAAAAATAAAAATCACACTTCTATCTTCAGTCAAAAAGTCACAGCCTCTGATCCCACTGCAGTCCCATCCCACCTCATACTGGGGCACAGGAACTGCCGTTAGGTAGGGAACACATTCTCCACTTTGCCACGGTCCCTTCTGACCGGAGATTTTTTTCAGCTCTGGTTCATTTCTTCCCTTACATTTCTCCTGCGTGGCCCCTGTATGTGGTTGAATCAGTGTGACCTTGTTCCTAAGGGCTCTGAAATTGACTCAAATGTCAGAAACTACAAGGATACAGAACTGGGCTCACCATAGAGCAGCGCTTCCTCTGGAGTAATCCCCTCTGGATGTGGCTTGTACCTTGGCAATGTAAGAGCCTGGGCTGCAGAAACCTCCCTTCAGCCGGATGTTTGCAGAGGGGGCTTTCAGCCCCAGATGGTGAGTGAAAAGGAGCTAGCTCCATGCCTGAGTTTCTCAGAGCCTGTGATCTTGGCCGGGCTCCTCAACTCCCACCATCCTCCCATGTTACCTCATTTGTTGGGCACAAAGCATCTGGTCCTCAAATTCCCTGGCCGGCCTCATTAGTCAGATTATTAGGAAACCTGCGAGCCCGGCTGGGCAGACACACTCCCAACCTCCCTGGGTTCTAGATCACACCTGCTGGATTTCCCCTGCTCCATCCCCAAGCTTTCATTTCCTGCCATCTGCTGGGGAGAACAGGAATAGCAAGCCTTTCTCCAGTCATTCCCAGGGAATTTCCTTTCTCCGGGCTACAATGTGAAATTGATGATCATCTAACTAGATGGGGCCTCCAGGCCACACCTCCACCCCTTCCACTCGTATGTTTAATTGATGAGGAAGGCAGAGAATAATTTGCCCAAAGCTGTATATAATAAAATTAATTTGGTGCTTCCCCTGCATAACTAGAGCCCAGTGAGAAAACACTTTCAAGCACCCTATCCTGCGGCAAGGGCAGATTTACACTGATAAGCAATAGAGTTGGGTATCCCTTCCAGGCACTGGGTCCAGTAATTTGGCCAGTTCCCCCAACTCCTTTCCTTGGCCCTGCCACAAACACCCTATAGTCAGTCGCCCTATTCACAGACAAAAATTTACTGAGATCTATTTGCTAGGCACTATACATGTTCTTTCCCATTTCCGCAGTGAGGGTGTTGGACCAGATTCATCCATTCGCCAAAGATTTCTTGAGCATTTTTCATGTCTCAAATCCTCCTAAGTGCTAGGAATAAAATCCCATTTAAAAAAGGGCGGGGGAGCACCTGGGTGGCTCAGGCGGTTAAGCATCTGACTTCGGCTCAGGTCATGATCTCACAGTTTGTGGGTCTGAGCCCCGCATCAGGCTCTGTGCTGACAGTTCAGAGCCTGGAGCCTGCTTCGGATTCTGTGTCTCCCTCTCTCTCTTCCCCTCCCCTGCTTGCGCTCTCTCTGTCTCTCAAAAATAAATAAATGTTAAAAAAATTTTTTAAAAAAAAAGGGAAGCTAGGAGTAGTGAAGCTATACTGGTAAACATTTACTTATTCAACAAATATTTGCTGAGTTTTGAGCTTATGTTCAGGAACTCTTCATATGTTCAGTGTTGCAGGTACAATGAACATGAATAAGACTGCCTTCATGGAGCTTAGAGTCTAATGGGAGGACAGACATTAATCAAGAGCTTTAAAAAAATAGAGAGGGATGGGGCGCCTGGGTGGCTCAGTTGGTTAAGCATGCAACTTCAACTCAGGTCGTGATCTCACGGTTTGTGAGTTCGAGCTCTGCAGCAGGCTCTGTGCTGACAACTCAGAGCCTGGAGCCTGCTTCAGATACCGTCTCCCTCCCTCTGCCCCTCCCCTCCTCGCACTCCATCTCTATCAAAAATAAATAAACATTAAAAAAAATTTTTTTTAAATAGAGAGGGATGTACAGGGAGCTATGGAGCACACAGCAGGGACACCTAGTCTATCCTTGCCCTCAGGGAAGGCTTCTGAGTCAGACATTAGTTCAGTGGAAGAGGAGTCAGGAGCAGAGGTGGGGGTAAGAGTATGTTCCAAGGAAGAGAGAACAACTTGAGCAGAGGCCCAGAGTTAAAAAGAAGGAACATGACCCTTTTGCATATATGTAAACATTTCAGGGTCACTGGTGTACAGAATGCCAGATGGAGGATGGTGCAAGATGAGATGACGCTGGAGAGGCAGGCAGGGATCGGGTCATCTACAGCCTTGTTTCCCATGCAAGGATTTTAATCATCCTGAAGCCAGTGGCAGCCCATTAAAAAGTTCAAGCGAGGGACGCCTGGGTGGCTCAGTCGGTTGAGTAAGCGTCTGACTTTGGCTCAGGTCAAGATCTCATGGTTTCTGAGTTCCAGCCCCACACCAGGCTCTGTGTGGACAGCTCGGAGCCTGAAGCCTGCTTCAGCTTCTGTGTCTTTCTCTCTGCCCTCCCCGGCTCGCACTCTCCCTCTATCAGAAATAAATATTTTTACAAAACAGCTCAAGCGAAAGATGACCAATCACATCTGTGTTATGACAACTCAGGTGGCTTGGGAGGGCCAGACCGGAGGCGGTAGGAAGACCGGGCTGGAAGTCATCGCAACAAGCTTGTCTGGTGGCCCACGCGAGCTTGGCAAGAGCTGAGCCGGACAGGGGTTCTTAGGCTGTGTTTCCTGCTGTCTGCCAGCCCTGTCCTGCACAGGAACAAACAGAAGATAGACTTTCTTCTCTAGAAGCCCTCACTACCTAGGAGGGCAACGTGAGCTGGTAAAAATTCCCCAGAGCCACACGCTGAATCAACAGCTCCGCTGAGACTCTCAGTGCCACCACGGAGCTCACACGGGAAGATAACGAAGCCAGACATGATGCAAGCGGACAACAGTGTCTCCATGAGTCAGATCAGGAAAAGATCCCGTGAGCTGGGAAAGGGAGAAATTAGAAGAATAAGGGCAGCAGGCATGTTGGTGGTGAGCATAAGGCAGGGAGGGAGAAATGCACAAGGGATGGCTGGCAAAGGGCAACCCAACTGGCAGGTGTGCAAAGCAGAAGGTAAGGGGAGGGGCAAAAGCCTGTAAGGTAAGTTGGAGCCAATTGATGAAGGGCTTTGAACAATAACTGAACCCGGAGGTATGTCTGAGGTCACAACTGCCAGGGATATGGGAACATGGAGGCAGAAAGGAGCTGCGGCTTCCCCGGCTTGTGAAAAGGAAGTAAGGCTCTTGCTGTCTCCTGGGCCATTCGCCCCCTCCCCCCCAACCCACTCGAGGAAACATCACCTGGGGGGTGGGGTGGGTAAAGAGTGGGGTGGCAAGGAGGCAACAGAGGCAAAGCAGGGGATCTCTCCAAATTGTCTCCTCGATTTCTAACCAAACAGCATTCAGAGTATCTGCTCATCTGTAATCTCTGATGGTCAAAAGAACCTTTTGATGTAGCGGGGTGAATCTTCTCCCCCACTTATAGGAAAATATGAAATAAAAAACCCCGAGACTCAAATAAAGAAGTGACTTGCCTCAGGTCACACAGCCAGCAAGTGACAGAGCCAAGACTTGAACACAGGTGTCCAGACTCTATGCCACATTCCTATCCCCTGGTTTGTATCTGTTTCAGCAAGCACGCGGCGCCCCTCTATAAGGCATTACTCCCCAGCCAGCCTGAAAGCCTTCAGAAACCTGGAATGGTAGAGTCCAAGAGGCAGGGAGAACCAGATGGGCGAGGCCAGGCCCCCAGGGGAGTGCCTTGCAGGGAGGGTGCCCAGCCCCTGTCTTATTTTAAGTAGAGCCCCATGCTGAATCTGTTCCAGGAGGATGAGGCCGGAGAAGGCCGCTTCAACTTCTCTGCTTATGGGATGGGCCCAGCCTGTCTGCAGGCCAAGGATGGCATCTCAGTCAAAGGCGCCAATAACAACAATACCACCAACCCCCCTCCCGCACCGTCTAAGTCCCCAGAGGAGATGCGAAAACTCTTCATCCAGAGGGCCAAGAAGATTGACAAAATATCCCGCATTGGCTTCCCCATGGCCTTCCTCATCTTCAACATGTTCTACTGGATCATCTACAAGATTGTCCGCAGGGAGGACGTCCACAACCAGTGACGGGTCTGGGATGGGGCGGGAGTGGGGGAGGCTGGGAGAGGGCAGAATGGAAATAGCACAGGAATCTGAGAGCCTAAGGAAGAGATAGGGGAAGAGAGGGAGGGGGCACACATACACAACTCCCTCTTTCTCTGAAAAATGTGCAATAGCAAAATGCAGTGATGCATGAATCTTAGAATGTGGCACTATCTATTTAACCTCGGGTGGGCTGGTGGGGGGGGGAGGGGCTTTTCTAATACAGGAGCAGAGGGGTCGGGAGGAAGGGAAGGGGTGGGTGGGGGTTAGGGAGTGAGGAAAAACAGCTCTCAAAAACTTGAGTCCATGGGCTGTGCAGTTTTCCTATTTGGAAGGAGAGTGCAGTCTGCCCCAGAGCAGAAGGAAAGCCATGTAATATATGATATATATTCATGCTTAATATTAATGCAAAATCACAAGAACAAAGGATTTGTTTCTTAACCTATCAGCCTAGTAACTGCTTAAGTTTTTCAAGTCACAGAAGTGATGGACAATTTTTCCCAGAGTGGAAACAGTCACAAATAAGCTTTTGCTCTGGTGTGTGTCCTATACCATGGCCTTCCAAATGCCATGCCTGTTTTCACACTGGCCTGGGTGGACACATGCCAAAAAGGCAGTCCACCTCTGCTTCAAGAGGGTTGTGCAGCCTGGGCATGGGCAGTGGAAATGGGGCAAAGTGGAGAGAAGAGAGGGAATGACTAAGGAGATGGGGCATTTTCAGAGGCCCAAGGATTGATAATCAAGAGAACTGCACCTCAATCCTCACGTCTCAAGGCTAAGGACCACACCCGCCCCTCTCTGAGCCCCTCTCGCTTCTGTGCTTCAATGCCCACCCCACTTACCCTCCACTGCCACCCAGAAATGGCTGCCATGGTTTCTCATTATATTGCCAATATGCAATCTTTTTTATGGTGACAAAAAAAAGTAATAATCTCAAGAAATAATATGCAGATAGACTGAGTATAAACTGATGCACTTTTTTCAAATGTCTATTTTTTTGGAGAGTCTCTTTGGAATTGCAAGTGGGTATATATTTGGGAAGGTGGGGTCAGTGGGATGAAATGGACTTCTTACAGGGTGGTTCTACAGAGTGAAGTTTTAAGAAGTGAAAGGGTAGTAATGAGGCTGCCACAGCTGAGATATATACGGGTGGAAAGAGATGGTATGTTTAGAAAGTCTGTTCATTATATTTTGACATTTCCTATGCCACAACGAATGTGGGAAGCATGGGGAGATGACCCCATTATATTTTTATAAGTCTTTTGTTTGTTTTCCTTTTTGGTGCTTTGCTTAGCTTTAACATTTAGGCAAGTTAGACAAATATTTCTTTCCCTCTAACTCTGATGTGCCAGAACTATCCTAGG